TGTGTGTGTGTGTGTGTGTGTGTGTGTGTGTGTGTGTGTGTGTGTGTGTGTGTGTGTAATATATATATATATATACACATATATATAAATTAATGTTTAGCTTGTGATTTAAATCATATCAATAAAAATCTATATTTTGTTTTAGCTGATCAAAATTATGGATACGTAACTAATAAAAGATAAGATATGATCTGTGCAGAAATTTGATCAGTCAATACGTTACTATCATCAATCATTATGGTTTGGAACCATACACATAAAGCTATAATAAAAAATAATAAAATCATTGGCGTCCGGTACTTGAAAGATGCGGATGTATTTTAATAAAATACGTACAGCTCGCGGCTATCACTTCGGTCTGAAATTCGTAATGAAAGAGTGCAAAGTGTTTTATGAAATCATATATGATCTATTAGAAGTAAATATTGTATTTAAAGAAAATACAATATATTGACAGCATTGATAAAAAGTATTATAAAAACTGTAATTTATGAGAAGAATTATTTATAGAATCTTTTAGTTCTGTAAAAGTTTCTTGTTTATCCAACTTTTAAAATTAAGTAATATTAAATGAATATAAAATTATATGTAGATTAGAGAAGATATTTTAATAATTTACGGTAATAGCATTAAAAAAATAAGAGAGATAAAGATAAAGCAAAAGAAATTATTGTGTATATTAAAAAAGAATATAAGAGAGTCTATAGCCTAATTATAGACTTTCTAATATATTAAGGGTATTGGAAAGTATAATACTGTACTTTTTGTTGGTGCTGTGATATGTAATTGCGTATCGAGTAAAACACACAGGCGACATATATATATTTTATAAACATGTCTATAATTTATTAAATATATATTAAGTTCCCATATATATTTTAGCAACGATTTTTATAACATAATACATACAAATTTAATTTTATGCTAAAATTACAGACCAAACACACATTTAAGTACATAAGTTACATTTAATTTTAAAATTTTAAATAAATAGCAAATTATATATATGTATATATATATATA